GCCGTAGCATCTTTGTAGACGACCAAATTAATTTACTTTTGTGTTTTAACATCATTTTTAAGCTTTGTGTTGGTCAATTTGATCGTCCACACCGATAGACAGTATTCAGAAAGAGACACAGAGAGAGAGAGAGAGAGAGAGAGAGAGAGGAGGAGTAGATCTTGCGAGAACTTCCAGGCAAAACAAAATGGCGACCTGCGTAGTTCGGCTCGATTCGAAAAGTGAAATTGGCTATAGCATCTTTGAAGACAATCATATTAGCTGGCTTTTGTGCTATAACGTAATTTTTTCTTGGCTTTTATCAATTTGATCACCCACACCGATAGACAGTATTCCGAAATCCAGAAAAATAGGTCTTGTTTCACACCGGGTGAGAATAGCCAACGCTGGCAAGTCTCACCCGGGGTGAGAGGTAGATCGTATTTTTATTCTCACCCCGGGTGAGGATAGCCACTCCCTCTAAATAACTTTACAGTTTATATTCAACTTAAATCCACAATAATAGGCCTACTTAGATCTACAAATAAACAAGTGTGCTAAAAAAATCAAGCTCTCTTCAGAGTTTTCTTTTCTTGGCAGGCCCAAGATCTATTGAACCACAATCGTCATTTCTTCCTCTTGTTTACAGTGCTGTGGTGCTCTTCTTGTGCTTTAGAAAGTGAAAGTAAAAGACACTGAAAACATTTTCAAATAAAAGAGCACTTCCGGTATGGGTTGGCTATTGTTGACTATATATTAGAATGTAGTAATTACGGAAATTTTTTATTTAGCATTTTTGAAAATAATTTTTTTTCAATTTTTTTTTGCCACGAATTTTCACGGAAATTTTTCCATTTGCGGAAATCCGCAAACTTGCGGAAGACTGGAAGCACTGTTTTCTATATAAGTATTCTGCATGCTGAACACAAATATTACCTTCAATTATCCGTACAATTGTGCTGTGCGAATAACTGTAACTAGTTATCCGTACAATTATTCGAATTGGTTGTTGGTGAGCTTACATTTGCCTAGATCTAGTCATCTTGTAGTAGGTTCTATGTTCTAGTGGTAGGTAAGGACCTACATTTTCAAGAACTGGACAAGCGGGTTAAAACTATTTATTGAAAACTGGGTCTGACTTGGATTTGACTTATATTTGAGC